CTATAGTTTAGCTTCCTTATGTGAGACTGACCAAAAAATGGCTCCTTTCCCTCCCAGAGCCCTGAACAAGGGCTGGAACCAAAGCTTAATTATGATGTACAGGAGGCCTGCCCTATGACTGCAAACAGATAACAGAAAGAAAATAAAGTTGGAGCTCCTGGAACAGCTGTACCAGCACAGGTTCTAAACTCGTTTCGTATATAGGGGGCGCTGGCGATTCGATTTTAAAATGATTTCTGAAATTTTCTTGAAAAAAAGGTTGGAAATAGCAGGAAATCCGAATCGCTTCATTTGCTTTGTTAATGGAAGGTGCCCCTCCCTTCCTCCAGAACCATTAAGTAACTTTGACAAAGTCAGCCTAAACAAACAGTTTTAAAATCTCGCAGTTTCCCTTCCCTGTTAGTTTTAAAATCTCGTGGTTTCCCTTCCCTGGTGGCGAGCTTCCATGCAGAGGGACGAGGTGGGCATGGCTAAGCACAGCTCTTCTTGAAGGTCGTTGGGGGCATGGCCTTCAGGAAGAGCTGTTCTTAGCCACACTCACCTCATCCCTCTGCATCGCCGCCAGGGAAGGGAAACTGCGAGATTTTAAGTAGTTTTAAAATCCCACAGTTTCCCTTCCCTGGTGGTGATGAAGAGGGATTAGGTGGGCCTGGTTAAGTGACAGCTCTTCCTGAAGGCCACTGGGGCGTGGCCTTCAGGAAGAGTTGTTCTTAGCCACGCCCACCTCGTCCCTCTTCAGCGCCGTGTTCACCACCAACCAGGGAAGGGAAACCACGAGATTTAAAAACTAACAGGGAAGGGAAGCTGTGAGATTTTAAAACATGGCCTTCAAGAATGGGAACCGTGAGGCTTTGCCAAAGTTGCTTAATTGTTCTAAAAATAAAACTAACTGTGGGAGACATCCGAAAATTATTCCAAACAATGGTTTAAATTCAGAATTAGTCCTCCTACTATTCCTGCATGGCTCGAAATTGGTTCAAAAGGTAATTTTTTCTGAAATAATAACGATTTAAGAAAATAACGACTGTACCTACCCATGCCTATTATTTATATACTGCTGCATCTCCCCGAGGGGACTCAGAGCAGTTTCCAAGTAACATCATCAATACATAAGGAATAAACAACATAACCATAAGATTAACAAAGCAATATAAGCATAAAAATTGTCGCCATAACACATATATATTAAAAATAATCCTTCCTGTTCAAGGCAATTTAAAAGGCCGAGATTAGTGCAAACTCAAAAATTCTAGGGGGTCCAGGAATTAAGTGCAGTGCTTTAGCAGGCAACAACAATATTAGGTACAGGTCTATGGCTGTTCATTTTCGGGGCCTATCAGAGGAAGTGACCTGGGTAATTGATAGGAAAAATAAGGCCATATTCAACAATGTCTAGGGCTCAGCTGGAACTAGTCATTCTCAAAGGCTTGTTGAAACCACCAGGTCTTCAAGCTCTTACGAAAGGAGGGGAGGGATGGGGCCTGTCTAATTTCCCTGGGGAGGCCATTCCAGAGGTGGAGGGCCACCACTGAGAAGGTCCTCTCTCTTGTTTCCACCAACTGTGCTTGTGACGGTGGTGGGAGCAAGAGGAGGGACTCCCTGGAAGATCTTAGAGTTTGCACCGGTTCATAGAAGGAGATG